ACAGTGGAATCAATTTTCTCGTCCTTTTTCGGTGTCAACCTTTTCAGCAATATCAGGAAACGATTACAGTGAGAATTAAGAAACAGCACCAATCCAGCTGGAAATTATATATTTTAAAGCAAATATTCAAATAAGTACGTAGTTCTAAAAAGTAACATGACAATAAAGGGCAGTACGGTGTTAAATTAATAATCAGTATAAAAAATATTTAATAACGTTAAGGGTATTTTCAATTGGTTTTTAGCTGAAATATATACATACCAAAACCAATCACTAGAATCAATGCAAATGGAGGAATCACAATTTCTGTTGCTGTCGGGCGAACTTCTGGTTCAGTTTCTGGTACAGAAATGATCTCTGGTTCAGTTTCCGGTGATGACGTGACCTCTGGTTCAGTCTCTGGTGATGATGAGACCTCTGGTTCTGCTTCTGGTAATGATGTAACCTCTGGTTCTACTTCTGGTGATGAAGATACTTCTGGTTCAGTTTCTGGTGATGATGAGACCTCTGGTTCTGCTTCTGGTGGTGATGTAACCTCTGGTTCTACTTCTGGTGATGAAGATACTTCTGGTTCAGTTTCTGGTGAAGATGTGCCTTCTGGTTCAGTTTCTGGTGATGATGTAGCCTCTGGTTCGGCTTCTGGTGAAGAAGATGCTTCTGGTTCAGTTTCTGGTGAAGATGTGCCTTCTGGTTCAGTTTCTGGTGATGATGTAGCCTCTGGTTCTGCTTCTGGTGAAGAAGATGCCTCTGGTTCAGTTTCTGGTGAAGAAGTGCCTTCTGGTTCAGTTTCTGGTGATGATGTAACCTCTGGTTCTGCTTCTGGTGATGAAGATGCCTCTGGTTCAGTTTCTGGTGATGATGTCACCTCTGGTTCAGTTTCTGGTGATGATGTGCCCTCTTGTTCAGTTTCTGGTGATGATGTAACTTCTGGTTCTGTTTCTGGTGATGATGTAACCTCTGGCTCAGTTTCTGGTGATGATGTAACCTCTGGTTCTACTTCTGGTGATGAAGATGCCTCTGGTTCAGTTTCTAGTGAGAATGTAACCTCTGGTTCAGTTTCTGGTGATGATGTAACCTTTGGTTCTGCCTCTGGTAAAGAAGATGCCTCTGGTTCCGTTTCTGGTGTTGATGTAACCTCTGGTTCAGTTTCTGGTGAAGACGCCTCTGGTTCAGTTTCTGGTGATGATGTAACCTCTGGTTCAGTTTCTGATGAAGACGCCTCTGGTTCAGTTTCTGATGAGGATGTAACCTTTGGTTCAGTTTTTGGTGAAGAAGATGCCTCTGGTTCAGTTTCTGGTGAAGATGTGACCTCTGGTTCTGTTTCTGGTGAAGATGTGACCTCTGGTTCTGCTTCTGGTGAAGATGTGACCTCTGGTTCAGTTTCTGGTGAAGATGTGACTTCTGGTTTTGGCTCTGCTGAAAATGTGCCTTCCGGTGTTGTTTCTTGTGAAGATACGGATTCTGGTTCATTTTCTGGTGAAGATTTGCTTTCTGGCTCTGATGTTGATGTGGTTGGTACGTATTCCAGCGTTAAGGTACTTTGTTCTGAGAAAACTTCTGAAATTGAAGATGACAACAATGCAACTGACTTGGTCTGACTTCAAGCATCTTCACAAAATGGCAATAGAATTAATTTTTTTTTTTCAAAATGGTCCTCTAAAATTAAATCTTACCTTTTGTATATTTAAGAACGAACAAAAAACACAAATAAACAAAGCAGCGTTTCGAACTTTTCATCTTCTTTCTTGGGTTATTTCATGTCTTAGAAATGAAAAGTCAATTAATATATCGATGAAGGAAATCCATGTTTCGGACATTTTCATCAAATGTCGATTGGCTTCAAGAAAGTAATCATTATATTTTCAGTGTAGCTTACAAGACTAGTAATGGCACTCCTATTTGTCAATGAAATACGGGATCAATATACCAATATTGTTCAGGTATTAGACTGCTTTTACCTCGTTGCTTAAAGAATATACATTCCGTGTCAATAATACGGCGCCATCAAGCATACAGAAAACTCCTAATAAAATGTTAGTACCAATGTGCGGACCAATCGACCGGTATCACTTATCTTTTTAGAATAAAGGATGCACAGTTACGGAGGAAATTAAATCTTTCTCTCTTTGTCCGTGATTTTTTTTATTTACTTAAGTGAAAGCGAAAATAAATTGAGCTATGTTTTATTACTAGTATTTGCTTAGTTTTTGTTTCTTTTATTTTTATATACTAGTATTTACATGTCGTTTTTTTTCTTATAGCTACTAATTTCCATCGAGTATATGATTAAATATCATAATTATTTCAATTTTCCTTTTTTTTTTTTGATCGCTCTTTATCATATTTGTCGAAATCAGTTACACACGAAATTAAATAAATCAGATTCTATAGAAATATACATGTACATGAATCTGACGGTGAATTTTTATTTATCAAAACACGTTTTTGGTTAATTGCTTAGGCTGAAATATTGTTTAAAATAATTTTCCATTCAAAAAACTAATTCCTTCATAGTAAATAGATGGAAGGCAAGGGGTGAGGCTTATAACATTTCAGGCATATAAAGTATTATTAATTTTCCCTCCGAAACTTGACTGCAATCCGTAGAATTGACCTCTTACCCCTATTTACTAGTAACTCTTCGAAAACAATCTATACATTATATTCTCATCATAATCAATATGATAAGTACATTATCAATATTGCATATTTTTTTCTCGTTTCTAAAGTTTATAAAATAAGATCAATCAATATGTATTGTACTGTTAAATTAAGCATGTGTAAGGGGGGGGGGGGGGGCTCCTATCACACTTTAACAACCGTAGCTTGGAATTTGAAAAATTACGACTCGCGTTTGTTCGGCAAACAAAGTCGTTTTTTTTTTTTCGAAAGCTAAGAACAGATGTCGATGAACTAGGATAAAACATGTGCAATTACCAAAGATTCAAGAAATAATTACTTTGTACTACGATTTTTTCAGCAACAGCAACAAAGCAAGAAAGATAACTCGCGCTTTACTGCTGAAGTCTTGATTTTCTTACGAAATATTGAGAACTGCATCTCAGCCAAACAATTTTGGTTCCTCGAATATGATATTCTTTTTCTCGCGTACGCTTTCAACATGTGAAGTGTATGCGTGGAAAAAGATGTATTCGAGAATGGATCAACGTTGTGCAAACTATAAAAATAATGGATAATGCGATAATAATGATAACAAGATAAGTTTGAAAAGGTTTCATGCTCTGGTGGGGTTTTACACACGTGTTTGTGAATCTATTCATCCTTGGTAGTCACTATTAGTATAAGGAAATTATCAAGACCGATTCATTTCAATAATGACAGTAAACGTATCAAGTGACCAACGGTAGTACATGTATACACTGTAAGTACTCTCGAAAGTCAGACAATAAGAAATAAATCCTTTAGAAAAAAAAATATAAATTTTGTGTTTTCTTTTTTAGCCTGTAATTAAGTATAGATTAAATTAGGCTAATGTTTTTTTTTAAAATTATTTTTATAAAATTTAATTCTGGTTGTAACGCTGTGTTTGATTGGATAAAAAAAATACTTTATATCGTTAAAATGGGTTCTTTGACTTCCGTCAAAAAAGTATCAATCTGCCTGACGTTACATTCAAATTTTGTACAAATTGAGATTTTGTAAATTACATCAAATGAATGAAAATTTGTTGAATTTAACAGCTTTTTATACGTTTCTTTTTTTTTGGAAAGTTTATTTTTATATACATAAATATAAACCCAGTTTATACCGTATAAAATGGGTAGCTATTAAATCCATTGATTTCCTTAAATACATAAATATAGCTAAAATACAGTTACTGTAGATCTACATGTAAATACTCGGTACAAGTAGTCTCAAGAATAACATGAAATATTTGTACATGTGTTTAGTAATTAGTTTTATAAAATATAAAAGATATTAAAAAAAGATGCTTCTTTGTAAAGACAAAAATCTTGTTCTTTTTTATTATAATTGAATTACATGTATCTCTTTTAATGGCAATACACGGCAGAAATTTAACAGCAGGTGTAAATGTATCTTATTATGTAATACCAGGCAGGGCTTAATTGGGCCTTTTTGGTACAAGTTCCTGTACCCTTTCAGTTTGTAATTTTAAATCGGCGAAAGTGGCAAAAGTTGGGCAATATTGGTTACAAGTTTACAAGTTTAATAAGTTTTAATAAGTTTTAAAGATTTACATGAAAGGCTTATTCTCAATTCACGCATTTTTATGCAATAAAATTTAAAAATTCAAATATTTTAAATATAAAACTCACATAAAAAATTCCATCTACTTACCACTTGGGAAATTGTCTCCTAATTTTGGAGAAGATACATTGTATATAAATTATATATCATTCAATTCTGTAAATCCTAAGCTTTTAAAAATGTTTTGAACCGAGCAGGTCTGACACGCGGCATTTTTTGGCCAATACCGTACATTGTTCTTAGTGAATTTTCAATTGGGACAGGGTCCTTTTAGAGGACCTTGTTGCAAGGATCATTTAGCCCTAAATATGATAACAGGAAACATAAATAAACAAACACTTTGATAAACTTTTAATGCGTCGTTTTTTCGCATTTTTTTCAGCTCAAAATCAGCAAAAGATTCCGTCCTCACTCGGATATTGTTCGCCCTTTTCCGTAACTGACAAAAGTTGTATACGGAAATGGCCGATTAGTTACGATTATTTCCGTCCTATGACGTCATGGAACATTTAGCTTTCTATAACGGATATAAAATTAAAAAAAATAATCTGGAATGTAGCATTAAACTAGCATTTTGACTTCTATCTGTCTTTTTCATACCTATATTTTTTATACCTTTATTTTAACATTTTGTGTTGCCATTGGTGATGACGTCACTTATGGTAACTGTAAGGAACCGTTGCGTTGTGGTTACTGTCGTTAGTTACTCACTTCGATCAGTTGCGAGTAGACGTGGTTTTTACACAGCGACAAAAATTTCAAAGTTCACTATGAAAAGAGAAAGATCTTCTGAAAGAAACAGCAAGAATGTGGCTAAGAGGGTAATTCTTCAGAAAATAAATTTTTATTGGTCTTCAATGTTTGTTTTTCGTGAAATATAACGGAATTTATGACGTCAATGGAAATAACATTAGACGTGGCAAAATACTCATCTTAAAAGCTGGAAAAATATTTAATCGATCTTAGATCACACTCGTAGGCTTAAAATGCATAGATCTGCGATGTAAAAGGGGAAGGGGGTAGTAAATTTTGGGTACGACAGTATTGATCAGTACAAAATTTGAGAACATGACTCGTTAGTCATTAGGGTTATTGAAAGTACCCACCGTCGTCTTTTTTATTGTTTAGACCTCAGTATTAGAAATGGACTTATACAAAATAATAATAAAAAAATGTCATATTTAAAGATGTTTCGTAGACCCGTCACCGGACATGAAAATTTGAAAAAAGCAAGGGTGTAACAATAATAGAGGAAATTCGGTCAAGATAAATACAGTCATAATTATAATGTATGTTTCATTCCACTCCTACATATCAGCAAGTCTTTAGCTTCAATAAAACCTGTCTGAACAGTTTATCCTTACGTACCTCTCAAAATCCATCGTGCTGACAGAGATTATTCTTTTTATCCTTTTGAATCTCTCATCTGCGATGTTCTGTAGCTTGTAGAGCAGGGGAGAGTACTGGGAGTAAACGTTACAAGAGTTATTTCCCTTTGATAATTATATTCTCCACTACCTAATTCATACCTACATCGTTGCAGGCTTCGGATTTTGTTTGCAGTTTAATAAAAAAAAAAAAAACAATTTGAAACAAACAAAAAATGGTTTACGACGATGCCCCATCCGTAACTATAATATTCCCAAGTTAATAGTAAAATATCAGCATTAAATTTCTTAGAAAAAAAACATTGCATGGAAAAGGATTTCACTATGCTATTTAAAAAAAATAAACAAAAACAAAAATTATGGGTTGGGGTGGTGCCGGGGTGGTTGGAGGCTTTATCTTTTTTTTTTTTTTTTTTTTTTTTTTTTGCAAGAACACATAGATGAATATAAGTTTTATGAAATATATCAGATGAGTCTATTTTGAGTACTAGATAAAAATAGCGAAAATGTTGTATTACCACTGAGAATAACTATATTTATAAGACTTTTTTTTTTAATTCTAGCGCCGTATAGAGACCTCTTCAGATGACAGTCGTCAGTGGTACGAGGTGATGCTTGCCCTGGCGGCCAAATCAGCTGTAAGTCTTTGTCTGTGTTTCTCTCTTTGATTCTCTCTCGCTCTCCCCCATCCCCCTCTTTCTCCTCTCAGGGATGTGGCATCGTTTTTGAAAAGGTGAAAACCATGCAGAGGATAAAAATTCAACTTATCTAAAAAAGAAACTGTTATATTTATAAATTTTGACTAATCAAAAAGGGAAGGAAAATGTTCGGACTGCGGATTGGGTTCCAACTTCTTTCACTCATTTAAATACATACCATATTATTTTTTTGGGGAGGGGGCTGTACTGCAACAATAAGGGGGGGGGTCTTTTAATAAACATTTTTATAATAAAATTTAACCCTCCCTCCCCCGGATGCTACATGCCTGCATGTCTTTCTCTCCTTTTTCATCTCTCTCTCTCAAACTGAACCTCTAAATCTTTTTCTACAATTTCTCTCCAGTGCAAGCAAGTCTTTGCTTCTGCTGTTCATGAATGGAGAGATCATATTCGAGACTGGGTAAGAATCTGAATGAGGGCATGTTTTTAAAATCAACTGCAAATTCACTTCTTTGTGTATCTTATATTCTGAACTGTTTTTTTTTTAATTTTTAGGTACTGATCTATAGACACGTTTTATAAGAGAACTATCTATTGTTATATTTTTAGCGTGAACTGACCAGTGCCATCAACAGTTCTGAGGAGCGTAGGGAGCTTCCTACTATACCACAACCTACGCATCACGTAGGTGTCAGACTCTTTCTCAGTTTTGGAATATCACAAGAGTCAGAAATAGTCTTTTTACTTCCTAAAATATAAATATCCAAATGTATGTCAATAATATTATATTGTTGTGGGACACTTGAATTAAAATTATTATTTTTGAACAGATTGAGTGGTTGGCCAGAGTCAATTTTAAGCACAGGCCAGTGCGCCGCTATGACATACCAGAACAGAGACGCTGTGACGTACCAAAACAGAGACGTCATCACAAAGTCTCCAACAAACATGACCTGAATTCCTCCTTTTATGTCTACTAAGGAGGAGAATGATATTGGTAAGTCATGCAACATACCCCGATATGAAAAAAAGGGGGTCCTCAATACTTTTTTTTCTGTATATACAATTGTATACTACTTAAAGAGAGCAATTCAATTTTGATGACGTTTCCCCTATGATAACGTCTGACCATTGAATCAACCCGTCCCAATGGAATGGTTCCCTGATCTAAGTTACACCAAAAGTAAAATTTCCAGGGAAATTGCAAATATTGCTTAATTTTGGAAAATGTTGGATACCCACGGGTGATCTCATTTTACTCATGATGATATGAGATCACCCGTGGATTTCCGACGATGCATAGTCAAAGAATTATGTAACATTTTACTAAGGAATAACTACATGTAGGGAAGACAGTAAAACCATGCAATGGTCGATACTATGATACTTATCATAATGCCTGTCTTAGAATTTAAACTGGTTATTAGAAGTAAAATGGACAAATTTCATCTTTCCAATAAGGTTCATTTTGCAATACTTTGATAATTTTTCTGTTCTATTCTGTAATATGTTATACATTAATATTGTGTCTTTTTCCTTTTTCTCGTAGGTTATGTATGGTCACAAATGATGTGCAAATGTCAGAAACCGAACCGCCACTACCATCTCTACAACTGGGTTGACTTTCATGATTCACATGTCGTTGCATGTTTTGCTGTACATAAGTGTGAAAAAGACACATTTTCGGATGCGTTGCACAAAGGTACTTACAAGTGTGATTGATTGTTCGGCAAAGCCTCATTTGCCTTCGTCAAGCACCGAGAAAGACCTATGATTTTTATTCCGAATTAATTGTCCGTGTACCACTATCCTCGGATTTTGTAACAACGCCCCTTTTATGGACTTACCCGGCTATATGTGTGATTGGACACTGAAAGAGACCTACCACTGTACTACTGTATCGGGACTTGGTGACAACGCCCCTTTTATGGGCTATATGTGGTTGGACACTGAAAGAGGCCTACCCGGTATACGTTTCTCTATCACAAATCCCGTGTACTACTGTTTCGGCACTTGGTGACAACGCCCCCTTTTATGGGCTATATATGTGATTGGACTATGATAAAGACCTATTATTTCTCTAACCATAAAAGTCCGTGTACTATTGTCTCGGACTTGGTGACAACGCCCATTTTACGTGCTGTATGTGATTGGACAATGAAAGAGACCTATCATTTCTATACCGCAAAGTACGTCTGCAACAGTGCCACTACCCTTGGACTTTGTGACAGCGCTTCTTTTATGGGCTATATTTGATATAATGTTATTAGACAATGGAAGAAGTCTATTATTTCTATACCACATTTACCAGTGTCCGTGGACTAATCCTTAGTGAAACGCCCCCTTAGTGTGTTAAATGTGTGATCAGACTTGTGACTATACTCAGTGCCTTGTGACCAGACTTGCAATTGGTATCCGTGCATTGCATTTTTTTCTGCAGCCATGTGGATGTCTCTCGACATGTGTGCATAAACATTTTATGTGTCATTTTTGTTTAATTTCTATAATTATCATTTTGCTATTTTTTTAAGCTGCCCAACTGACTGTGTACGCATTTGAATTTAGTTCTTGCGTGATTTGTTTTACTGTTGAATTAAATTAACTTTGCATGTAGTTCTTTCATGATTTGTTTTTGTTGTTGAAATAAAAAAAAATTAAAATTTATTTGACTTGTGTTTTTTTTTCTTCACGACATTTAAAAAAAAATCCGATCTCGAACAGTGATAGAGATTGTTCTTCTGATCAAAATGCACGGGCATCTAAAAGGATACTACAGTACTTACATGTATATCCCCCTTTTACGTGCATTTCATGGAACTGGGACTCGTTCTTGAGCCACTACCACCCACCTTGCGTTTGATTGTCACAATGAATGCGTTCTTAATTTTTATTTTCGAAAGACGTTTCTTTGAAATATATGAATCTAATACCTGGGAAATACGTTTGAAGGAGAATGAAAAAAAAATCCTAGATATTTTAAATTTACAAAATTAATACATATATATGTTTTCCCCTTAATTATCCTTTCAGCAAAAACATCGGAGGAGTAGGGTTAAATTGGGACGGTCTTTCATTTATTTTGAACATTACATATATATAGTATTATTTCACTGTAAATTGAAATTGTTCATTAAAAAACGGCTGCCCCACCCCTCCCACTGCAATAACCACTGCACCTTTTATTTTATTTGACAGTATTATCCTCTCGCGTATCCCACTCCCTGTTTACTTGATGACTTACATGTACGAGTATTATACTATAGAAGGACAGGTCTCCCTTCCCCTGATATAGACTCTCAGGTCTTTAAGCTTTTTTCTCATGAATTTTCAATAGATGACATATTTGTAATAAAATCATTACCATCAACTCGGAAAAGTGTCTCATTAACCAAATATCTTTTTTTTAAAAAATATATACATACATGTATATAAAATGATTACTCCACTCAGTGACTGTGTAAATTATATCAGGAGAGTAGCGTATATTTCATGAAATGATTGTTTTTTAGAGTTTTTTTTTATTGTTGGTATAGATATGGTCGCACATATGTGATCCAAAGAAAATTTATTGGGAAAAGGTTGAGAAAATGCCAAGTTTTCCATGTTGAAAAATTAACCCCCTCTTCCCAGTTTGGAAAACATTTAATTAAGAAATTTTTTGCTTGCTTCTTTATTGATTTTATTTCTTGCTTGTCAATAAATTTTAATTTTTAAAGTTCATTATAAATTATTGTCCGACTATCCCCTTTCATACACGATAAGTGATTAAATGTATATTTGTAAGCTTTTCATCAGTACATTGTAGTTCGCCAAAACCAATAAGACAGGGTAACAAAAACAAACTGTTTATAAAGCAAGCCTTCGATAAACAGATAAACTGATAAATGGTCGTTTTGCTTGGAAAGGGTCAATATGATGTACCTTCAACTTTTCCTGAAAATCTTATGATTTATATCCCTATTAATTTCAATCAACCAATCAAAATATATAAAAAGACTGCGATTGCAGAGAATTAATTTGAAAATAATCATTAATACCCTCGGAATGGAAAGGCGATTATTCACAGATCGAGTCACCACGGGGTGTGTAGAGGCTGTTTAGAGTTCCCTCGATGTTACATCATCAAAGGTGGCCGTCAGCAGCCGACAAGCGGGAAGACCGATCACGTGGATGCACAGAGACAGAGCAGCGTGCAGGTGGCCGCATCGAAAGATGAAGTCAACAGCACAATGTCATGGTGAGTTTTTTGGAAAGTTGTTTTGTTTTCGACTTTTAACATTCTTATCCGTTCTGCGAAAAATACAGACAACATGCAGTTATACATGAAGCAAGCATTTATAAGAATAACAGAATAATCTGCACCTCGTCCGAAATTTCATTTTAACTAAAATGTGGATAATAACGTTAAATCACGTACATAACTAGATGACAAGCTGATGACAGTGATTAGTTTATGATAAACATGATAACTACAATGTAGATTATCAAGTAAAGTGTTTAAATTCTGGGAATCATTTAGATCAAATCGAGTCCGTGTCATTAACTGGCTCTAAGTTTCTATACAAAATTCTGCGAAACTCACAAAATTGTAAAAGCCCGCTTTCAGCATGTTCAGGGGTCCTCCAAACAAGCTTATTGTGCACTTCGACAGAAAGCGGGAATGAACCTCTACAAGTTGTTTACTATGCTAAGAGAGATAACTCGTCTGGTATTCGCCGTTTTCTTTAAAATATCAATGTTTGCTTCCCTTCTCCCGACTCGGGGTAAAATTAATAAGTCGCCTAGGTAGGTAGGTGTGAAATATTTTTTCAAGAATTTAAACATAGTTGTGCACGGGATAAACTACTGTTTTTCCTAATGGAAAATTTTTAAAATACAAAACACAACTGCGTATTCATTAGTTTTCTTTCCTTTTATATATATAGAAAGGAATATAGGGACCTATATAGTATATACTAACTAATAGTATATAGGTCCCTGGTAATAACAAAAAAATATGGTTGGGGGTATACCCTCATGCCCCCCTTCCCATCGCACTCAGTATGTTCTTTCGATCTACATTTAAATTGTTTGTATGTTTACAGTGATTGGAGATTTGGCATGGACAGTCTGATCGATGCATTCATTGGAATGGAAAGAGAGAAGATGTAAATTAGAAGACAAGAAATCAAGACCTTCGAGGACAGGAACATCATGCTTAACATAATGTAGTCTGCTTTGATTAATTAACCTTTACTCAGTTACACGCCGTCATTATGTGAATCCCCCCCCCCTATAACAAATAGATATACATGTATACATGTAGCATTGCATGACTTCTAAATCTACTTAAATAAAAATAGACATCTTGATTCAGAAAGTTTTTTATGTAAGATAAGTCTTTCAAGTCTTTGGTTATTATGCTATAAGAGTAAAATGTAGAATTGGTATTATTCTGTTGAAATTCAATTAAATAAATTTAAAAGTATGTATTGGGCATTCATTTTGAAAACTTGCACATGAAACAAAACTGTGTTTGGGGTGCGTATTTTTTGTGAAAGATGAGTACCACTCGAAAATGAAAACCCAATGGTGGAAAAAAAAATGCATCCACGGCGGGATTCGAACCCGCGACCTCTGGATTAGAAGTCCAGCGCGCTATCCGCTGCGCTACGCGGACGGTGATGATTAGGAAAAATAATTTAAATTTAAAATTCAAAATTAAAAAAGGTAGGATTAAAAATTGATTTAATTTATTTTCCGCTGTAAAGATATTGCTATTGATTTATAAAGAAAAAGTAATAGTGATTCTGTTATCTTCATTTTCATTTTGACGGTCTAAAAACATGATAATATCCGATCGGCTTTGGTTCCTTATTTTAGCGACGCGTGTATTTCTTCCTGTTTGATTTTTGCATGTAAACAAAAGAAAAGCGTACAAGACCTTAAAAAAGGGAATCAAAATTATACAGAGTTACGGTATATGATTGTTCAATAATAATGGAAAGAGTTCAAGAGACTAAGCCGGGGAAATCAAAAGACGACTGTCCGTTAGCTTCTCCGGAAAGACAAAGACGAGGTGCCAGCTCCGGAAAGCGGCAGCCAGTTCCCCCAGCCCTAAGACTAATGTCTCCGTTTGATAGTGACCAGGAGCTGAATGACCTAGAGGTCGCCAGTGTATTAGAAGGTGATTTTAAAATCAGGTTTAAGGTGTCTTGACAACTTTCTCTTCTAATCATAAGCTCCTCAAGAAATTATAGGGAGTGATAAAGAGAAGAAGAAAAGGGCACCTGCTGTTCCTAATGTGGGCTCTATGTTTCATAATTCATGCAGATCATTTTTTCTAAAAGAAAAATTATAACCCCTAAAAACATTATTGTAAGATGTTTTATTTCAAAGATGAAAAATTGGGGGGGGGGAGAAAAACACTACAAAATAAATCACTTTAGGCCATATAAAATTAATCTTTAGAAAATTTGGTCTCATCCCGCCTACTACCCATCTCAGTGCGCCCCTCTGAAAATGTCCCGCCCCGATGTTTTTTATTTTGATTTTTGGGTATTTTCTTGTATTTTTATTCAGTAAGAATTTGGGTCAAAGTTTAAGAGTTATCTCCCGTCTGTATTAAAATTCGAGTGTCGCTATTTATAGCAAAAACGCCATGTGAAGAATGGAGAAAAATCGGCAATAAAAGCAGTTTAAATGTGTAAGGAAAAGATAATTTGTCAGTATAGAGAAGGCAGAGAAGAAAAAATAGCATAAACACATATAGATACCATCACTGGCAGGAGCAAGTATGTAGAGAGATTGTAACTAAGTAAAAATAGACGAGGAAACTCAAGTTATATATAACGATCTCCATCTGTGTGACTTAGCTTTGAAATAAAAAAAATCTACAACATCGTAGACAGACTTAAGAGAAGGGCTAGATTTTTCAGAAGAATAATTATTAGAACATTTATATAGAATTTGCAAAGTAAGAAGTCACGCATACACAATTTATTGGTATCCCCACCTCATTTTGTTCAGGGTGTGCCGTATAATGTGTACTTGTTAATTTGTTAATTAACAATAAATATTTAACATTTAAAGAAAAAAATTTCTTTAAATATTTAAAAGAATATGAAAAGAATTAAATCTATTCATATTTGCATTAAGGTAATGAAAAAAATGTGTACGGGGCGTCCATTGTTTTGTTGATACTTAGGCCTATATATAAATTAACAATTATAAAATATAAAAAATAAAATCCGCCCACCCGCCCCAATTTTTTTGCAAATTAGGATGAGAATCTAAAGATTAATTTTACCTGGCCTTATGCAGACAGCAATTTAATACACTATGTTCGCCCTTCTGCCATTGCGAATATGTACTTCGAAATAACAGTCATGACTTTTGTCAAGCAAAAAGAAAACCTTTTATTCATATTGAGAAATATTTTTAGTATTCCTGTTATTAATGAAGGGCAGTATATGAACATGATGAAATTCATTTAATACTCTTTGGAAGCTTCATTAATTTTGTGAACTCTTGATGTGTTTGCTTATTATTCTGCATACCATCCTTATGGTAAAGGTAGGAAAATATCTTCATAGTTAAATTCTTTCAAATCTTTACTGATTTTTAAAATTTTATTAAAACAACATTTTCAGGAAAACAACAAGGAAATGATTGTTTGTCACCAACAAAGTCAAAGAGACATGAAACACCTTTCAGGGTAAGAAAAATGACTGCAGATCAATATAGCACATGTAATGAATTCTTTTGAAATTTAGAGATCCATTTCTTTGTAGTTACAATCAATAAGCTTGGCATTCTTATCTTTACATGTAGCCAACCACTGTTATGACAAATTTACAAAGAGGAAATGTACAGACTACAACCCCTCTATTTAAGAGTAAGTCAATTATATACAGTTGAAATTCAGTATCTAAAACACTGATACATGTAATTGTATATACATGTATCTCGAACACCATGTATATTTCGAAGTAGATTGGAAGTCCCAACCATTTATTATTTTTATCTCAGATATTTCAAAGTTTTCTCTGTTCCTGTTGTGTTTGAGGTATAAATGAGGGTTGACTGTATTTATTATGTGTTTCAAATTGTGATATTGAATTTTTAATAGAAAAGGATTTATTATGGTAGAAAAATCTTTATTTTTGCCAGATATTTCTCTTCACCAAATGGCAGCTCAAGGAGAGCTCACTCACCTTCACCAAGAAATTAATGAAGGTACATTTGTACGTTGTCAGCTAATTTTGTTGTTTTATTCTTGATTATTTGGTGTTCAAATAAATTTTTGAAATATATGTAATTATGTTTCACTGTTACGCTAATTACATACCACAATATACAACATATTTTTTATAATACCAAGCAGGATGTGATGTAAATAAAGTAGATTCCAATGACATGACAGCACTCCTCTGGGCATGTGCAAATGGTCAGCAGCCAGCTGTAGAGTTTCTGATCAAGTCCGGTGCCGACATTAATGTCTCTGGCAGCCATGGTGAAAATGCTCTTCTGCTTGCGAGCTGCAACGGTTATCTTGGTATTGTTGAAATTTTGCTGAAACTTGGCATGGATGTCAATGTTACTGATGAGGTAAGTGTTTTTCTGTTTTTAGCTCTACTGGTCAGAGACCAGAAGAGCTTATCGCCTTATGCGATAGTAATGCGTCCGTCGTCCGTCCGTCTGTCTGTCTGTAAACAATTTTTCAAAATGCTACTCCTCCTACAGTTTTGGTCTGATTTCAATATAACTTGGCACACAAGTAGACTACACAGAGATACATAATTCTGTGTATCAGTTTTTGATTTTGATGAACTGTGTTACCGTGGTTACTAAAAATAGAAATTTATGTGAAATTCTTTCAAAATACTACTCCTCCTATAGTTTTAATCTGATTTCAATATAACTTGGCACACAAGTAGACTACACTAAGATACATAATTCACACATGTATATCTTTTTTGATTTCGATGAACGGTGTTACCGTGGTTACCAAAAATAGAATTTTATGTGAAATTCTTTCAAAATGCTACTCCTCCTACAGTTTTGGTCTGATTTCAATATAACTTGGCACACATGTAGACTACACAGAGATACATAATTATGTATATCAGTTTTTGATTTCGATGAACGGTGTTGCTGTGGTTACTAAAAATAGAAATTTCTGTGAAATTATTTCAAAATGCTACTCCTCTTACAGTTTTGGTCTGATTTCGATATAACTTGGCACACAAGTAGACTACACTAAGATACAAAATTCTATATACATGTATCAGTTTTTGACTTTTATGAACATTATTGCTTTGGTTACTAAAAATAGAAATTTCTGTTAAATACTCTCAAGATGCTACTCCAAATACAGTTTAAGTCTGAATATAATATAATGTGGCATGCAAGTAGACTATACTAAGAACATAAAGAAACTTAATCAAGGATCATTTTTCTTTTTTTTATTGTTCTGGTAAAGTTTCAATTCCCAACTGCTTAAGAACTTTTCTCTTCCTTTGCTTTAAGTACAAACCAGTAGAGCTTCAGGATGTCAATGTTACTTCTGGTTTTCCTTATTGCCCTTGAATCGTATCAATTCTGGTTTATTTGTGTCATTAACACATATCCATTTTGATTTATTAATCTTATTTGAAAGTAATTTGATTAGTTCATTGCACATAAATATATAAAATAAAACATCACTTTTGTAGATAGGGAATACAGCTCTTATATACGCTGCCTACAGAGGCCATGACAGCGTTGTAAAGCTGTTGTTAGAGTATGGAGCTGACATTATGGCTCAGAATGAAGATAACATGAATGTAATGGACTTGGTTGTGGGTCAAGGAAACAAACACAGTATGTAAAAGTTCTTGCTTAATAAATGTGTACACATTTAGTGTAATTCATGTTTTTCCTTCTATTAGTTTGGCCAGAGACCTGCTACTTATTTTTATAAGTAATGCTTTAAATCAGAATATGCTTAACAGTCAAAATGTTACAAATTTAAATTTCTTTTGTACTCCTTGACAGTATGTTTACTTCATGTATTTTTCCCAACGTTAAAATTTTGTCTTTATTTTTTTTTTTTGTGCAGTACAACAGGTTATTGAACGGCATATGCTTTCATTGTTTGAATGACTATATTTAAACAATGGAGCAAAATAGCTGAATGCCAAATTTCATCTTAAGAGTTTGGACATGTTGCATGCAGTGAAGTAGCAGAAGCTCACAGGAGAGTAGTGGTGCTCTCCAGAAAAGACAGCACATTTTCTTTAGTCTGGACAAGAAGTCAGATATATAGTTAAAAATCTGAAGTCAACTGCATAAAGACATGTAACATCAAAATTATGACAACTTTATTGCACCATACTACATGTATTGTACGTGTATTTCATGAGTCAAGCATACCAGTCAATGCAATTCACTTTCTGTTTTCAATATTTTGATGAATAAAAGAAAACTTATTTTGATTATACCTATCATGAGAAATGCTGTATACAAGGTTAAGTTCACAACTCAAAACTGCATGTATTTAGCACTGCAGTTCATCAATACCAAAATATATGTGATATGGAATAATTTGTGATGCCTGAATTAATTTCTATTTTGTATTATAAGTCAGTGTCATTTCTATTATAATATATGTTTATGTGTATAGCAGGATTGAAACCCAGCAATCCTCAAAAATATACATGTATATACTTTTATGGACAAATTAAGGCATGGGAAGTGTGTGTAAAAATGCATTTTATGTAAAATAATGCATTGTATACATGAATGTATTTGTTAGTACATATATGTGATTGTGCATGTATGTGGGAGAGGACTATCAAAGTTTTTGGAACTTGTGTCCAATCCCTTTGACCAATTGACATATTGTGAGTAAAATATGTTTAAAACACATGTATGTGATTGTTAATATAAGGGGAAATGTAAAAAAAAATAATTAAAAAATACCTATGAAAATAAAGAAATACCTGAAAGTGACTTCATAAAGAAGTGATTGTAAAACATCGTTTGCGGAAAGAGCATTAACTTTTGCTTTATACATGCAAACAAAAAATTGTTGTATATTTAGATTATCTTTCCTTCATAATATTTTATACTCCTTCCAGTGTGGTGTGTCAAAAACATTGTTGGCTCGACAAGGAAACAGAATTTTACACATAATAGTTGTTGAAAAATTAGAATTTGCATTAATATAACATGTAAAGTACACTGGAAACGCACATATGAATAATTATGAATTCTATCATTGATTTCCAATATATGATAAAAAGTATAAAAATACGATCGCGAGTACATCCAAATACATACATTCTCACCCACACACACCTTCAAACATACACCCTCATCGCATACCCAAAACAAGTTAAAATTCTCGGATACAAAAATTATAATAATGCTAGATCCTGTTTTTTGAAAACAACCAACAAGGCAGAAGCTCGTATTACTTGATTTACCATAGGAAACTTAATAACATGACATCCAACTTCAAACCATAGCCAAGTTTTCCAGAGTTAGCGGATGGATCCTGATATTTATATTTAATTTATACTTGAAAGATTATTTTATTTACTGTTCGAAATAATGGCGAAATGAATTTTCATCTTGAATGGAAGATGGTGCATTAAGTGCAAAACTTTGGAAAGGAGACAACGGAATAAACCACACGCGTGACTCGAAAACAAAGTTATCTTTAATGAAAATAGATTAATTTGATATTAAATGACTTGTTTTATACCTCAGGTTTAATTTTGAATTATTCGTATATATGCTTTAGACAACAGGCAATTACTTAAAATCTTCGACATAATTTCCTAACGGTGACGACAGGACTTCCATGTCTGATGTTCTTTGCCAAAAGTGAAGAAAAATTCATTATTTTTCTCTATATATTTCATTGAAAACAACATTTTGTAAAATCACTAGCGAATGGTTAATTTTTGTCCAGTTTCATTATTTATTTCATTACTTAAACCAGAAAATGTGTAGAACTTTATCTTTTTTAAGGTCAAAATCTAGTAAATGAAAGATGCCTACAGATTCATCAAATTTGAGAAATTAATAATTCCTTTAATTATGCTTTACAAAATAAGGTGTTTCGAAGCATAATTTGTAGGTAAACAAGATGAAAAACCATATTTTAAAGTAAAGCCGTAAAGTACGGGAAAAATAAAGTTGAAATGATTATGACACCATAATGGATCTAGCTGCAAAAAGTTAGTCTAAAGTCATTTACTTGATCTTAACCTTAAAAGATCAGTACATATTCAGTTTTTAGTAAGAGGTAGTTCATCACTGAATATCAGTTCTAAAATTCAAGATCAATGTTGAGTATATAAGTCATTGTAAGTATGTGACTTAAATTTTCATGTCGCACTTAAATTACAATATTTAAAAAAAAAAAAACATCGTTGCTGATCAGGTAAAAACTGTTGTTTTTATAAACTACAACAATTTCCTAGAATATTAAGAAATTTGTGGAAAAAACCTGTTAAGAATTGTCATATCAGTGATTTTACAAAATGTTGTTTTCAATGAAATACACAGAGAAAAAATAAAATTATCTTTACTTTTGGCACACAGTCTGTGCGTAAACCATTATGCTGTCTTTTGGATTTACTGCGTGGGAGTAAAATACAAAAAAAAAATCCATCTTGCATCAAAGCTTATAACATGACAATTTGTTTCTCTGACAAAACAGACTAATGTAAAATCTTTAAATTTGGAACAGTATACTTGTTATATTTTCCACTTGAGTCTGTTTTTCTTCCTACATATAATCTTTTGTGTGAAAATTAAAACGTTTCAATAGAATAGATAAATAGTCTGTATTAGATAAAATAGAAAACAGGGAGGGAGACTTGACAACAACGGAAAGAAAAGATCAAAGGGGAGGGGGTAAGAATTTTATATGAAATCAAATGTAGATGTAACGAATATGTTACAAAATTTAATCTTTAAAACTTTCGAATCAGTGTTATGGATTCGACAGTGAACGTTTACTAGCCTCACTCTAGTTAAGTTAATGACAGAATTTGCACTTTCAAATTTGAGGAGAAATTGAGGTCCTTCTGAATAATAACATTGTTTAAAATGACCATGATAGGTTGAAAAAAATTTCATTGCAAGATTTCCAAATTGGAAATTTTATAATACATGTATCACTCCCGGATTTATTCCTTTTTATCAAATAAATAACATTCTAAAATTGATGGAATTAGCAATTTAATTATCTTTCCATAAGAGGACATATTCTTTCTTTTAGATTATGAAATAAAACGCGTTTTATTGTTTAAATCCCCTGAAATAGTGGTTACTATTTCCCACAGAATATATGATGGACCTACAAATTAAGTTTAAAAAAAGAAGAAGAAAAAAATGTCTCATTAAGCGAAAATTTACATTAAACAATATAGTATTTTGTTTTCCGGAAGGTATTATGCATATTAGAATTTAAAAATCACAGCAGGAGTTTACCTTTCATAAATGAGATATGAACCAAAAAATTGACCACATCTAGTAATTAATTTGTCGAGTGGCAAACCATGGAACAATGGTCTTTTGTTTGACACTTACAAATTAATTTTAAACAAAGGTCGGTGTATAAATCTATTTTAGATTAACTTTTACTGTTAAACATGTACACATGTAAATTCATTAACGGCGAAAACGATATGGAAAGGGCTCCCGTTCATAGATCTATGTTTTTCCGATTTTACATATTAAACGGCGTATTCCCTACAGATTGACCGTCTGTTTATTATAATGGTTTAAGTACCTTCTTTGAAATCGCATTAAAAGCATACTTTAAATATGTTTTAACATTATTTCCTAAAATGTAAAAATAACAATTTAGTTAAAAACTTAAAAAAATATATATTTTGTATTCAAATTTTAATGCTGAATAATTATATTATCATGAGAATTTTAAATTAAAAACATGTATTACTATGTGTCCCATGTCTTAAACACTTTTTATTGCATGATCTAGAGTTATACTTCTACATGAAAGTGTTAAACAATAGATTTTGTGAATGTTGGGGAGTTAAAGCAAATAAAAGCAGATCATCTACATAAATGTACATGAGAGAGAGAATTCAAAGACCCAACATTTCAAGCTCAATGTCTGATTTACCCTTTTAAAATATTTTTTTCAGGTCATTTACTTATGAAAATAAAAACACATAAAAAGCATAGGGGATAAACTCCCTCCCTGCAGTAATCCTACATGAGACTAAAGGAAACCTAGATATTGCCTGGAGATTTTACACGCGTATTAATAAAATACTATGAAATTGGATGACAACCAGTATTTTTCTCTGTACTTCATTTTATACCATAATTTTCAGTTGTTTGGATTTTTTCTCTGACTATTTTAATAAAAAGGTTTTGGTACTCTAGAATACAACAATATATATAGCCCCTTTGTTGACAAAGTATCTCGTTGATCGTTACAGTGTTATCACTAGCAGCATTAGATGTTGATAATTTCTGTTGAAAATTGAATTGAGAATCTGTAATGATAGTATTTACACATGACCACCATACGAGCTCATTGCACACCCCACTTGGTCCATATTTGCATGCCCCGCTCCCGATTTATATTGTTTCAATGGATTTTTAAGTTTGATTTCTGTTTGTTTTCTCCATGTACCACTACAAGCTAGATTTAATATGTAAAAAAAAAAAACTAGTAGAAACATCGTATCAAATTACTGTCCACTGGGAGGGGGAAATCCAGAAGGTAAAATGCGATGAAAGATACTTCATATATGATAAGTTAATTATTAAACTCTCTGAAATAATGCACACATTAAATACTACATTTAATAAATTATGCGAATTTCTATATATCTCCATATTCGGAAGGTGTGTCTTGTCAACAATATATGGAAATGACTCCAACTGCACAGGAACTAGATAGAGCTATATGTATAATGCTTATGGATCCAAAACAACACAGAGTCAATAAACTCATTCGGTGTAGGTTACACCTTATATGATAGATAGCAATCATGATTATGATGACTGAAACTATGGTCATCTGATCATAAAAAGCTTATAAAAACAACGCGGTATGTGTTGATAGAAATATATGATTGGTAAGGGTAAAAAGAGTGACAGTCGCGTAATTAAGAAAAACTATGTCAGTGGGACTTGTCTA